GACGGCATTCCGTACGCGATATGGCCATTATGAGTTTCTGGTAATGCCATTTGGAGAAGGACTTCGGCAGCTAAGGTGACAATGACCTCGGCTAGAAAGGACAACACTTGACTAAGCTGTGCCACATCTTGGCCTAGATGTGCCACACCTCGGTCTAGGTCATACCACTCCAGGACGAGATCACTTGGGTGCAAAGGTAACATCTCGGCCAATGCGTCAAAGCAAGGATGGAGGTCAACAAAGGGGTTCCAAGATACTTCTAGGCTGAGGATGACCTCGGCTCGGAATGGTCTAGGCGTAACGTAACCTAGGCTTGGCATAACATCGGCTAATCATAACTTAGGCAAATCACAAGGGAATCAAAACAAGACATGGATCTTACTCACTTAAAGCAGAACGAGTCACAAACATACTCATGCAAGCTTAACAAGCCATAATCATACAAATGCTCATGAACATGATTAAGACGTAAAAATGTGGGTTCCTACAATATAATTAGTGTGACAGTTTACTATTTAAAATATACTTATATATGTACATTTTCTCCAAAAACATCCATTTGAATACTACAAGGTGTGTTTGTTTTCATTTCCATTGTCCAGTTTAGTTCCAAAAATATTTCTTCACAATACAACATTGGTTATTTAAACCTCCACGTTAATATAAAATAATATCGTCTTCACATATGTTTTGAAAGCACGTTCACAGATACAAGTCATAACCCAATCCCACAATTCACCCACTGCACACACTTATGCAACAACACATTTTCTATTTTCCCTGGCCATAGGCCCAAGGGTAAGGAACACCCATAACAGAAATACCGAGAAAGATATATTTCTAAATGTAATTAGCTGAACATAACACATACTTCCATTTTCACCGGCTTACAGCATGGATGGAAAATGATACAACCTACATAACACGTAATGCCTTATCGTCCTCACCTCGGAGGGGAACGATCCCAAGGTCACACTTTATCTGGCGCAAATCGAAAGGAAGAGGAACCTATCATAAGGCGCTACGCTTCACCAGCTCACTACAGAGAGAAACGGACCTCCTTTCACACTTTACCAAGCACAAACTTGAAAGGACGAGAAACCTCTGTCAACGCGCCACGCTTTATCAGCCTGACCTGGAGAGAAACGAACCCCCAAACAAAACACAATAGTAGCACAATATGCTAAATTACATAATACTGTACAAGTGTAATACATACACATTATCTACTCAATAATAACAATGCCATCCTCTACCGATAACTAACGACAAAACCTCTAAACAGATAAATAGATACACAACTCATACAATATAAATCCATAACTAATTCTACATTTTCAAATCAACCATTTCTCATTTTATTTCATAAAAAAGTTACACATGCCATTTTATTTCTAAAATCAAATCCATTATTTTAAAACATTAACTACGTTCACCTTGGCCAAACCTTCATTTTTCCCCCCCTTAAACCAATCCAATTCATAAAATACAACTACAATACAAACTTAATAAAAAACCACTACTAAACCCACTTCAGTTTCACTCCATAAACCTAAATCACTATTCTAATTCTTAAACACATAACTTGATTATTACACATCTTCACCCCTTTAGAATTAATTAAGCCTATAATGATAAATTAGGGTTTTTCCCCACTCTCAACATGAACATACTCAGCTACCTCTTAATTAACCGAAACACTTGCAACTCATCCAATTCCAACTCCCAAGACCCAAACCCCAAACCCCTATCATGATTTTTGTAAAATTTCTTAACAAACTTGTTTTTAAATGCTATAAAATCTACCGCATGTATATCTATAACGAGGTATTAAAAAGGAGCAAGGAAATCCCTAGCTCTTGAAGCAAAAAGAAGATAACCCAAAAATCATCGACAACGAAACAACAATCTGCTCAGATTAAATAGAAGCCCTCGCTGAGCTCTACGTTTCACTCTAAAGCATTAAGGTGGTGAACTCAATGGATTATGGTATATAGAAGGGTTTTAAGCAAGAACTAGAGAGAGAGAGAGAGAAATGAAATTAGGTTTAGAAATGTTTTAGTGAGAGAGAGGAGATGGAAAAGTAAACAAAAACCCTTATCCCCAATTTGATATACGCACAGATCACTAGAGAAACCAAAACACCGCTCGAGCATTAGACACGAATAAGTGATACTGCTAGAGTGACCAAAACACTTCCAAAAGTTTTGCAAACTGCAGAAGACCGTTAGAGCGACCAAAACACTTCCAAAAGTTTTGCAAACTGCAGAAGACCGCTTGAGCGCAAGAAAGACCGCTTGAGCGAACCTGAAGAATACAGACATGATTTTCCTTGGAAAGAGAACTACCAACATGTTCACAACACAACCAACAACTCCAAACTCAACAACAAGAAGACAAGGAGTATAGACAACAATAACAACAACGAATATCGGATCCCAGATCCAAGAACATGAAAGGGTCGGGTCTAACCCAAGCCGTTATAATCATCATAATCAAATACTACTTGAAGCATAATTAAAGACGATGCACCATTTTAGATATAACAAAAAACATAAAAAATTAGAAAAGACTTGTTATGATTAATAACCAAAATAATATACCATGAGTTATAACCAAGTCATAATTTGCATATTATAAAATTTTTCCTTGTTTTTATTTTATTTTTTTCAGAAAAAAAATATTTTGATACAAGTAGAATTCATGATTTTTGGTAAATTTGATTAACACAAATAAGGATTTGATTTCTAGTAGAGAATACAATTTTTTTTTTATTTTTTTTTTTATAACTTTGAAAGAAATTATTTTTATGAGCCTTTTACATAGGATCACACACATAGTGACAAAAATTTTCATTAGCCATTAGTAAATTTATTTGTAATTAACTTTCAATGAGGCTTTTCCCAATATAAGCCATTTTTGTATTGTATTTCCAAAACTAGGCCAACTTCTGACGGAATTCCAAAACTAAGTTAAAGCGCCCTAGTTATAACTAAGAAAAAAAAAAATATAATTTTATATTTTTTGAGTTATAACTATATATATATATATATAACCAAATACCACATGAGACATAATAAAAAAATTTATAAATATAAATAAAATAATATCATAATTAAAAAAAAAAATTGGCATAAGCAGAGCACATGTGATACACCCTTTCAAGATAGTAGAATTTCCCCTTATAGTATGAAAAAAGGGTTGTTGATATGTTACAATTAAAGAAAAAAGGAGTCAGATTAGTTTTAAAATTGATGATGCACTTTGACGTGTAGTTGTAGAGCATCAAATTTCATCTTCCAATTTTCTCAACGCATCTCTGTTTCAGTCAACCTTCCTCAGAATTGCAGATCCATTTGTCATTCCAAGATTATTAGGTAATTAAGCTATATAATTCTGTGCCAAATGTCTATTTTTCATCTTTCATTCACATGTTTGCTAGTGTCTATATGTGTTTCTATGTGTGTGTGAGAGTCAACCATAATTTAAACTCTGTTTGGTTTCCATTAAAACATGCTGAAAGATCCTAAAAGAATACATGCTATAAGGGTTTGATGCTTTCTATGGTTCTTGTTTCTTAAAACTGCAAAGTTTAATTCAATAAAACCAAAAACTTGTCTTAGAAAGAATCAACTAATGATAGAGGATTATCGATTCAAACTTCAAAATTTTCTACAATTTTCTTTCTGCACATATTGACTTTGCTAAAGCATAGATAAGAAACCCAAAGATAGATTTCTCTTACCCACTACTTTTGGTAATTGCTAATCTCTTTTACAGTTTACAATGAGCTCTCATGTTAATACTAACTTATAGTGTTGTTATGGTGTATCATTTTTGTTATATGTTGCTTTCAATAGTGTGAATCATGGTTTCGAAAGTTTGATTATGGGGTGAATTTTTACTTGGTCTTGATTACAAATGACCACAATAATTGACAAATGTTGTCATCATGACTTGTCTTTAAACTATATTGATTTGATATCAACATACTAAGATGGGATGTTCAATCTCATATATGATTTGTGAATTCTGAGGACATTTCATTGTTTCTCTATAAATCATTCAAAAGAATGCCATAAGTTATAACTTTATTTGACTAAATCATTGGTAATGCTTGTTGAACTGTAACGAGCAAGTGTTTAGATGCTTGCGGAGACTTGAATCCAACCGATGCTGAGAGAATGTACTCTGTAGGGTAGGGATATTGGACAAGTTAAATTGCTAATTTGAAAAAATGGGATTGCCCGGGAACACATGAACATATATTTTTTATTAACAAAACCTTGAAGTTATAAATAGATTCAAAAGTGAAAATTTTCTTTTTTAAAAATCACCAACTCCAAAATGTATTATGAAATGTTCACTTTATCTTAGACTTCCTAATATTAATGTACCCCTTGGAAAACTTGTTAATTTCTGGCTTAATCCTTCATGACTCCATTAATTAGGTTAATATGCTAATAGCTATATAGAGAATTCTTTGAAGCTAAGGATGAGATCTTTGGGGCCTATGTTGGTTACTTCTCAATTGCTTTGTGATTTTGTTGACTTGTCTTCACTGTGTAAGCTCAACTCAATATTGATAACATCTAAACACAACTTTCAAAATTTTTGCCTGGAAGTCAAAATGCTCAGTTAAGCCTTCCAATTGAAAAGAAATATTTTAATCACCTCATCTCAAATCAGAATTTCCTTATCTAGAATGTCTTGAATTTGTTTTGTTGTTATTGAGACCATTACTTTTCATCTTCATTAGAAAATAGTCATTACGTCCCTTGGTAGTTAAAGAGATTTGCAGCATTGAATAGAGGACAAATGTTGAATTATTCCCTTTTTTTTTTTTCTTGGGTCTAAGGGTGATAGGATACACAACTGGGGTTGAGCGATTTGATTTTAGTCTCTAGTATCACACTAAAGGACTTCACTAAAGAAGCTAGTTGGCACCTTTGATGCTGAATTCTAATAGTTGCTCCAGTAGATAAGTATTACGTGCACTTTAAAGAGAAAGTTACAAAACCAAATTTCTTTTCCATTCACAGATCATAGACGCCTAATGTTAACAACTTACTCACTACATCCGTGTTCTTTGGCCTTCATCACCAAAAAATCCCCCTTTTGCGTCCATCAAGTCAAGAAAATGAGTTAAGGCGACATAAAAAAAGAGCATTGAAGACAGATTTTGTAAGTACTAAGAGAATAGTCTCAAACAGGTCCAATCAGGTAAAGAAGTCAAAATAGGAAAGATAGGTTTAGGGTAACTGCTCAAGTGAAGGAACTTGAGCTGTGAATACAAGCTCACAGAATTTCTGCTTTGACAGACAGATCCTATGAATATGGACTGACTGCTTAAGCGCAGGATACTAATTCACAACATCTCTGCTCAGAAAGATAGATTCTATAAGGTGCAACACATCATTGATTACTGCTCCATAATCACTCGAGTGGTGTCACCCAGTTTGTTGAATTTAGGCCGTAGAGCAACTTAAAGAATAAAAGCTGATTTGGTAATCTCATGCACAGAACCACATGAAGGAGTGACTATGTTATATATGTGCTAGTTACAATTTGTAATATCAGAATAAGTTCCTATCAATCTGTTATACAAAGTAATTTAAAATTCAAAGTGTACAATGGAAGGATAAAGCACCACATTATGCAATATGTCCCCCTTAAGCTGAAGGTTTTCTAGGAATAAGCTTCAGCTTGTCACACAAAAAGGAAAACCGCATAGAGGAGAGGCCTTTGGTCATAATATCTGCTATTTGATCCTTTGAAGATATAAACAGCACTTGTAAATCCTTGCAAGCAACTTGGGTCATAATGATCGTAGAAATGTGTTGCTATATGATTAATTGGATTCCTAAATGTTAAAATAAAATTATTCTAGAAGTACCTTCAATTCTTATAATGTAATCTATATAAGTCAAAACTAACATACCGTATTTTAGAGCTTGTGGCATACCATGTTCAATGTACCAGAATGAGCATAGAATCAAACTTCGTTATAAGTATTTTTAGTTAGATTGAATAAGATCTTGAGTTCGGTATTTGCAACAATTCATAATCTAACATATCAAATTGCTAGAGAATAATAAAGAAGTTCCATAGTTATTGAAAAACAACAGAGATTTTCAACCATTTCAAATCTCTCTTATATCATAGTACTTAATGCTAGTCAATTATCTTGATAATACATCGAGGGAGGAAAAAAAAGAAACATAAATGCCAAGGACATCAAACAAATGATGAAGTTCAATTAGTCTGCCTTCTATGACCTTCAAGCACTACAACAATAGAAGTTTAGGCTTCATGCACCTTCATGCAAAATGTACATAACTTAAAAAAACTATGTGATAAATGTCGAGCTTTATGAAAGCTAAGGCAATCCCTGAAGTGGTGTGTTGTATTGTACATAATACATACATATATGATGGCATGTTCATATTTTATTCATTGTTATATTAACTAAATTGTTTACGTATTTGAAAATACAAAGAAAAATATTTAAACGTCATATATTATTCTTAACATTTTGGTTGGCTTTTTATGAGTGACATGTCCTAAACTTTGCTAAGCATAATTTTTGTTACTAGGAATTAGGGGTGTAAACAATACATAAAGAAACCGATTGGACTGACCAAACCAGCCTAAATTGACTAGTTTTGGTCGGTTTTATGGAGTTGTTTGAACCATTTTTTTATTTTTTAAAATTCTATTTTCAATTTGGTACCGGTTTTTTAAAACATGAAACCAATTTGAACTGAAACCAACCCAATGATGTCATTTTTTGTTTTGTGTAGTGTATATGTATAATAAAAGATGCTACCAAGATCTTTGTTTTTTGTTTTTCTAACACTTGCTAGAATCTTTGTTGGTATTAGTGTATTTTAGGTTTTGTCTCATAACTTCTTGTTTTTCATTTAACAATAGAAGAAAGGGAATTGATTTCTGCAATTAAAAGGGACTTTTGGGATTGGATTTTTATTTGGTTACAGACTTTTGGGCCATTCTATTTGAACCTAAAAATTATTTCAGTATGTCCAATTCAAATTTAAAATTTTAATTCCTATTATACCCTAATGTGAATTTACTAATAAGAACAACACATATTAAACCTTTAAATAAAATATTATTTTTTTCTCATGGTACACCCTAATCAATTATACATATTATTCCTATTCAAATCCCTTCATCTTTTTCCCCAAGTTTCACTTGTTTTCTCTTCTTCTTTCTCACTCCAAAACTCCAATCTATCCCACCAAAACTCACCATTGTCATCCACATCATTGTTTTTTATTATATTGTTATTTGCAAATAGAAGAAAATTTGAACAAAATCAAATAATAGATGAGAGTACTAATCAAAATAGTTTTTTGAAACAGCCTATCAAAGAGGATGTAAGTATTCACATAAATATCAAAGTACAATTATTGATTTATGTGTTTTTTTACATAAAAGTGAATATTCAGCCCCTTTTTTGTCATTATTGTTCGAACTTTCAGAATCGAACAAATTCACTTTGTTCAGTAGTGTATAGCCGAACAAAGTCTGAACAAAGTGAATTTGTTCGGTTCTGGAAGTCCAAACACGGAGTTTCACCCTCTCCTTCTCCTTCGCTGTTCTCTTTCATCGGTGCCGCCTTCGCCTGTGCCAGGTTCCCTGGTTGTGTTCCCCATATCCACGTGAACAAAAGAAAGATTTTTCAAAAGTAATTTGAATTTTTTAATTTGTTTTATTTGGTTAATTTGGGAAAAAAATAGGGTGTTCTGAGAATAAATTGTAATCGTAAATAATTTAATAGGGTGTACTAAAAAATTGGGCTCAATTAAACATTGTTTTGGTGTATACAGAATTCCCCCAGACTTATAGTAGATTGTTATTTTGTTGAAGACTTAGGGCCAATGTTTTTTTTTTCGTTTTCTTTTTTCTTTTTTCATTTTTCATTTTCTTTTTTTATTTTTTAATAAAATTGACCCAATTTGTGAAGTCCCAAACCAATGAAACCAAACTGACCCAATTGCAAACATTTTCTTTTGTGGTTTTTAGTTTATTTGGGTCGTGCAAACGAAAAACCAACTATTTCAATCCGATGGTCAGTTTTCATTAATTCTCGACTTAACCAAACCAATTACACCCCTACCGAGAATGTAGTATAAGGTGCATCCATGCCTTATGTGGGCCAAGGTGTGTAGTGTGCCTATCACAAGTGCTTCAAACATTCTCTGAAAAAATAATAAATAAATAAATAAATAAGTAGGATAATTTGTTATTCAATGCAAAAATGAAAATGCATATGGGGAAACTAGATGATCATGACTCTGAGAACTCACCTCCAAAGCATATGCCTGTTGCACCTCTTAAATAGATGACTGTAATTCTAGGTTCTATTGTTCACTAGTAGCAACTAAAACTTGGAAAGTAGTCATACCACATCTTTTCAATTTTTCTTAGATTGTTTTCATCTTCTTTTAATTTTCTTTGTGTGTACATGTGTCTGCCATTTTCTATTCCTATCTTGTTTTCTTGTAGGGTTTGTTCCTCATTGCTTGACTAATACTTAAATTATCATAGTAATATTGTTCCTCATTTCTTTACTAATACTTAATTATCATTTTAACATTCTTCTTTACCTATAACCTCAATGCAGTGACCATGGATGTGGTTGGTAATAGCATAGGGGTTGTTCGTTTCTTATGGGCGTCCCTCTCAAGGCAGTTCTACTATTTGTGGAGTTTTGAACAGAATCTTGAGATGTTGCACTGCAAAATGGAAGAACTAATTGCTCAAGAAAATGATATCAACATGGAGATCAATAGAGCATTGGTGCTCCAGAAGAAGGTAAAAATTGAGGTGGAGATATGGCTTAAAAATGTGGAAAAGTTTAAAAATGAAGTGAGTGGTATTGAAACTGAAATCAATGAAAATGCCAGGTGCATGAGTGGGTGTTCCCCCAATTATTATTCACGTTACAAATTGGGCAAACTACTTGCAAGTAAAACTCCATATGTGACTGAGCTTCAAGTGAAGGGAGCATTTCCAAATGGGGTGTTTGTTGACATGTTGCCAGATAATGGAAGAATACTACCAACAACAAAGTTAACCGGCAGAACAACTGAGAAGATTTTGCATGTGATTTGGGAATGTTTGGTAGATGTCAATATAAGCAAGTTAGGGGTCCATGGGATGGGGGGTGTCGGAAAGACAACCATCATGATGCATATAAATAATCTACTCAATGAAGCTCAGATTTTTGAATGTGTCATTTGGGTGACTGTATCAAAAACTTTCAACTTGGAGAAATTGCAAAAAGACATTGCTAATGCAATAGATTTGGACCTCTCCGATGATGAAAATGTGATTAAGAAATCTGCCATATTGCTTGAACATTTGCAGAGGAGGAGAAAATTCATTCTTATCTTAGATGATTTGTGGTACAGATTTTCTTTAGAAGAGGTGGGCATCCCACAGCCAAATAGAGAGAATGGTTGTAAGTTAGTAGTTATTACTCGACTCATGGAAGTTTGTCGTGGCATGGAGACTCAGAAGGAAATAAAGGTCAAGCTCTTGTCGAAGGAGGAATCATGGGATTTGTTTATTGATAAAGCAGGGGCTGACGTAATTCTTTCTCCTGAATTAGAATCGATTGCAAAGCCAGTATCAGAAAAGTGTGGACGTTTGCCGCTAGCAATCATTACTGTAGGACGTGCAATGAGGAAAATTGACAATTTAAGAATCTGGAAAAACGCATTAGACGAGTTGGAAAGCTCAAGGGGAGAAATAGAAGGAATGGAAGAAGGTGTCTTTGCACGTTTGAAATTTAGTTATGATCAGTTAAAGAGTGACAAAACCAAAGCTTGTTTCTTATATTGTGCATTGTATGCTGAGGATTACAAGATTGATATTGAGGAGCTTATAGAGTATTGGATGGCAGAAGGATTGATTGATGAGGTTGGAAATAGGGAAATTGAAATCAACAAGGGATATGCGGTGCTTAATGAGCTCATAGATGCTTGCTTGGTAGAGAGTGTTGGAACAGGGTGGGTAAAAATGCATGATTTGGTGAGGGATTTGGCAATCAAGATCACGAGGGAGAGTCCTCGGTTCACGATCAAAGCTGGTATGGGATTGAAGACCTTTCCAAGTGAATGGATGCAAAATGTTGACAGGATCTCACTAATGGAGAACAATATTAACGTTCTTCCAAGTCATCCCAATTGCCCGAATTTATCTACCTTGCTTCTGCAAAAGAATCCTCTTTCTAAGTGCATCCCTATTTCATTCTTTTCGGACATGTGTAGCCTTAAAGTTCTAGACCTATCCGGTACTCTTATTGAGTCACTACCAGAGTCACTTTCAAACTTACAGTGTCTTCATGCCCTCTTATTACGCTTCAGTGAGTTAAAGGAGCTACCTTCAATATCAATGCTTAAGGAGTTGAGGGTCTTGGATCTGTCATACACCCTTTTGGAAAAATTACCCAGTGATATGGAAGGCTTGGTAAATCTAAGGCGTCTTGATCTGTCTTACACTGAAGAATTAAACATGTTCCCTGGTGGAGTAATCCCCAAGCTGTCTCGTCTTGAAAACCTATCAATGTTCAAAAGCAAGTGGAGATGGTCACAAAAATTACAAGAAATGGGTGAAGGGGCAGATTTTATAGAAATCACAAGCTCCCCACAATTAACCAATGTTGGACTTTCCTTTGTGAACCTTCCTAGCTTCATTTGCTATGTGAGATCTAAGCATTGGAAAGTCCTGAAAAGCTACCACATTGGTGTAGGGATTCTGTCAAGCTTTGCACCTATTTCCAAGGAAACTTTTAGTGTGGAAATTCAAGGTTGTCACATCATTGGCGATAACTGTTTCATTGAGCTCCCCAAAAACACTCAGCAATTGGCCATTCAGGGTTGCCACGATATTGATGTTCTATCAAAACTGTCACTCATTTCCAACTTGAGTGATCTGAAAGAATGTTATGTGTCAAGTTGCAATGGTTTGGAGTTCATCACATTGGCAGATGTGAACCCTTTTCCAAGTCTAGAGAGATTGGTCCTCCGGAAACTATCCAACTTGAAAGCTATTTGCCTTGGAAATGTGGTAGCTTGTGCCCCAGTAAGGTTGAAAACCTTGCATATTTACAATTGCAATAACCTGAAAATCCTATTCTCGGTCGAGCTTTTGCAACAGCTCCCAAACCTTCAAGAATTCGAAGTATGGAATTCCCATTTGATTGAGGAGATAGTTGGAGAAGAGAGTAGCAGTGGAGTCAATAGCAATACCTCTCCAGCAGTAACACTTCCAAGGCTTCGTCGCTTGTATCTTTCTACTTTACCAGAGTTGAAATGCATCTCTAGAAGGGTGTTTATTTGTGAGTCACTAGAAACTATTGATATATGGGATTGTGGGAACTTAAGGAGGCTTCCATTCTCCATCAACTACCTTCCATCCTCCCTCAACCATATTAAGGCAAACAAAAAGTGGTGGGATGAGTTGAACTGGGATGAACCTAGTTGCAAGCTTCACTTGCAACCTTTTTTCAGGGAAGATCACTGACAGGAAAACCCAAAATAAACATCATTCTTAGGTCATCATGGGTTCAGTTTCATTGATGACACATTCATTCAAGTACAAGATTTGATAAGGAACTCGTCCAAACTATTCGCTAAGTTTGTCTCTTTATGTGGCACTCGTCTTGACTGTTTGTTTGTTTGTCTTTATGGGATGAAGCTGAATTCAAACAAGATATGAATATTTTGTTCTTTGTTGAAGTGGGAAGCTTTGATATCTGTACTGATTCTTAAACCAATACAGGAATCAGTTGAAGTTTGCAAATGTAAAGCACAGGACACCAGTGACGGCATGTTGTGGTGAGCTTTCCCTTTTTACTGATATCAGATTAAAGCACTTTGGATGCAGGGCATTTCTACGCATAATGGCAAAGTATTCTTCTTTGTTAGCACATGAAAAATATGATCAACTTCAATTCAACTCGGGCTTGGACATCTGGAATTATGTTAGCCAACAACAATCACCCATGAATTCAACTTAGTCTTGTGGATCTCTGAAAACATTACAGCTTCACACATTCCAACGGTTGCTAGCTCATTTTGTGTCTGAAAAATACAATGCATTTACAAGCATTGTTCACGCCTTTTTGCTGGCTTGTTTCGCAGCCTCTTCCAGAATTCCATCGGTTGGAGCTCTACGTATTTTTCCCATTTGACAATGGATGATCGCTCTTGTTTAGGTGGCTGGTTTATTTATTGTTTTTCTTTTAAGTTGTTTTCTGGTATTTTGTAGTGGCTCTTAGATGTTTGATGATTTAATGCACTGAGCTTTGATGTACTCAAGCTCCTTTTATCAATGAAGTTCTTTCCTTTTTCCCAAAAAAAAAAAAAAAAAAAAAAAAACAGAAAAATGAAAACTCAAAGATTAGTTTACCTATTTATACAGCCAATCTTGCTATAATTAACAGGGGTGGGAAAACTTCTAGCTTCCAGTTTGAGCATCTCTGTGCCTCAAGAAATGTTGAGATTATTATGCAGCTGCTGTTATATATCAGAAAGGAATAGAAAGAGGAGTGATTTCGTCTACCTGTTGATTCAATTCATGTTTGTTGAGGCACATGTATTTGCTCTCGTTTTGGTGGCCTCGGGACTTCTTCACATACAAAATTTTATATCCCAAATAACTATGTCTGATTTGATTTTTCAAAAACTGGTTTGTAGATTGATTTTTCTTTTCTTTTAGTAAACTTTTTTTTTTTAATTAATTTTTTTAGATGTACCTAATTAAAATAAAATAAAATAAAATAAAGTTCATTGAAGACAAGAAAATTCAAACAAAATATTTGTGTTCGGATTTTCTTTTGTTTATTTACTTTAGTAGTATTTAGATTAAGTGCATCTCAACCCCCCCAAAAAAAAAAAACCCCTAAAATATGAGAAAAAAAAAATCACTAAATAAAAAAAAATCCATCTAAAAACAAATTTTAAAAAATAAAATAAAATCATTGTTTTCTCTTAAAGATAAAGTCATGTTAGTCCACTGCCCAAATGGAGAACCCACTATGGATAGTGGAAGAAGATACGTAAGGTGGCTCTCCCACTCTTCCACTCCCCCAACCCCACTAGCTAGTGGAAGGGGTAAGTGGTGGCCAATCAAAGCCTCCCTCATTTGTGTATAAATGAGCTGAGGAGGAAGAGCTAGTGCTATATAGATTGCAGTGTGTAATCTGAGAGAGATTGTAAGCAAAAACACAGAGTGTATGTGTAAGTGAGAGTGCTACAGTGAGTGAGTGAGGTGTGAGTAATGTAAACTCCCTCCGGGAAATTCTATAGTGGATAGCTCTCCGTGGAATTAGGTAATTGCTGAACCACATAAATATTCTTGTGTTATTGTGTGTGATTAATTTCTGGTGTCTCACAGTCCTAACAAGTGATATCAGAGCCAAGTCGGTTGCGTTTCGGAAAAACAGAGTGCATTTCTTCGAAACTGCCAGAAATCAAGTTGCTCAAAATTAGGTGTTGAGCATATCAGGAGCAAGGTATCGAAGAGAGGAGTCCAAAACTGCAAAACAAAGCTCCAGAAGCCTTTCCACGCGCCGCACGCACCTCTCAAAGAAAGAACATGAATCCAGTTGCACCACGCGCCTCCACGCCCCGTTGGCACAGTCGGCGCGTCAACCCACTCGCAGCCACGCGCTTCACGCGCAACGAGAGGAAGAAGACGAGCCACGTCACGCCATGTGTCCGCCACGTCACCGCCACGCGTCCGCCACGTCTGTGCCACATGTCCGACATGTCATCCGCCACGTCAATGCCACGTGTTAGTCTGTCAGCCACGTGTCAGCCATGTCAGCGCATCCTGTTGGCCAGTCAACCTGTCAGAGGAGTGATCCAGTGCTTCGCGGCTAACGTATACCCGCAGATCTGAATTGTCCAAACTGTTTTGGCTTGATCTGAGCCATTCTGTGTCCATTTTTGACGATCCAATAATGTTTTCCAACTATTTGGAGTATTCCAGACACATTTGTACGGTCAGATTTTTTGATTCGGAGTTTCTGTAAAAACATAGTATACAATGGAAGAATCTACATCAACTTCAGGATCTATGTTCAAGTTGACTCCTTCCAATTATACAATTTGGAAGTCGCAGATGGAAGACATCTTGTATTATAAAGACCTGTTTGACCCTATTTTTGTAAAAGGGGTTAAACCAGAAGCAGTGAAGGATGATGACTGGATAAAAATGAACTGCAAGACTATCGGTTGTATCAGACAATGGATAGACCACGGTGTGTACCATCATGTCGCCGAGGAGACAGATGCCTATTCTCTATGGACAATGGTAGACGACATGTACCGATCAAAGACCGCTCGGAACAAAGCCTTGGTGATGAGAAGGCTTGTCAATTTGAAATTGAAGAATGATATGTCTGTTGCCGAGCACACCAGTGAATACAAAAATCTGGTGAATCAGCTTGCAACCGTCAAGATGCGCTTAGACGTTGAAATGCAAGCCGTTCTACTGCTCAGTTCTTTACCGAATAGCTGGGAGACGTTGGTGGTTTCTCTCAGCAACTCTGCACTAGAAGGGAAGTTGACCATGAGCATGGTCACAGACGCCATGTACAATGAAGAGACAAAGGCGGAAAGACTTGGGTGGAGATCAATCCCATGTCCTCGTCACAGAAAATAAAGGTAGTGGCAGAGACAGAGGAAGAAGCAAAAGTAGAGGACGCAGCAGAGGAAGATTTCAAGACAGAGGGAAATCCAAAGAAGGTACGAGCCGGTCGAAGTTCAAGTGTTACCATTGTGGCCAAGAGGGTCACATAAAGAAATATTGCTATGCCTTGAAGGGAGAACAAAAATAAGGCAATAGACAGCAAAAGGCTGAAGATGGGAATACTGCAGTTACTGTCTCAAAGGATATTACATTATTCTCTGTTGAAGAAGAAGAATGTCTTCATATGTCAGACAACGACACCGAGTGGGTGGTAGATACAGCAGCTTCCTACCACGCCACACCCCGGAAGGAGTTCTTCAGTACATACCAAGATGGAGATTTTGGTACAGTGAAGATGAGCAACTCCAGTTTTTTAAGATTGTGGGAATCGGTGATGTTCGCATCCAAACCAAAGTTGGGTGCACGATGGTGTTGAAAGATGTCAGGCATGTTCTCGATTTACGCCTGAATCTTATCTCAGGGATAGCTTTAGATCGACAAGGCTATGAGAACTACTTCGGTAAAGGCTTGTGGAAGTTAAAAAAGGGATCTCTGGTGGTAGCCAGAGGACAGGCAAGTGGCACGTTGTACAAGACTCATGTGGATGCATTCAGATAGCCTCAACGCAGCAGAAGATGAGGTATCACCAAATTTGTGGCACAAAAAGCTAGGTCACATGACTGAGAAAGGGTTGCAGATTCTGGCAAAGAAGTCGCTTATTCCCGTTGCCAAAGATGCGAAATTGAACCCTTGTGACAACTGCTTGTTTGGGAAGCAACATAGAGTCGTTTTCCATTCATCATCCAAAAGACAGTCAGAGTTGTTGAGCAGAGTATACTCTGATGTATGCGGTCCCATAGAAGTGGAATCTTTGAGTGGCAGAAAATACTTCATGACGTTTATTGATGACGCATCACGGAAGGTATGGATTTATGTCCCAAGAACCAAAGCTGAGGTGTTCCAACATTTTCAAACATTTTATGCTATGGTGGAAAGGGAGACTGGAAAGAAACTGAAGTGTCTTCGAACAGATAATGGAGGCGAGTATACGTCAAAGGAGTTTGAAGCCTACTGTGCTACTCGCAACATCCGACACGAGAAGACTGTTCCTGGAACCCCACAACACAATGGTGCAGTTGAAAGAATGAACCGGATCATTGTGGAAAAGGTCAGATGTATGCTCAAAATGGCAAAGCTGCTAAAGCCATTTTGGGGAGAAGATGTTCGTGTTGCATGCTAGTTGATCAACAGATCGCCATCAGTTCCACTGAATTTTGAAATTCCAGAGAAAGTATGGTCTAGAAGGGAGATTTCTTACTCTCACTTGAGAGTGTTTAGGTGCAAAGCTTTTGCACATGTATCCAAGGAGCACAGATAGAAGCTGAATGACAAAGCTACTCCATGCATCTTTGTTGGCTATGGAGATGAAGAATTTGGATACAGATTATGGGATCCGAAAAACAAAAAGGTCATTTAAAGCCGAGATGTGGTATTTCAAGAAAGCTAGACCTTAGAAGACTTTGGGCAACCAGCCAAACCCAAAGTTAATGATGTTTTCGAAATTGTTCCCAATCCTGCACCATCATAGCATGTCACTGATGAAGAAGAGCTACCGCAACATGCAGCCAATGATGTAGAGTTGTAGGATGAATTGCAAGAAGAAGAAGATCCAGAGGAAGAGGGTGTGGAGTAGGGGGAGCCACAACCCCCTCCGCCAGAGACTGTTGGTCCACAGTTGCGAATATCAACAAGAGAGTTTAAGCCCTCGTCAAAATACCCTGCTTTTGATTATATTTTGCTTACTGATGAGGGGGAGCCAGAAAGTTTTCAAGAAGCTCAGAATCATAAGGAGAAGAGTAGTTGGCATCAAGCTATGCAAGAAGAGATACAGTTCTTGCAAAAGAATCAGACTTATGATTTGGTAAAACTTCCAAAGTAAGCCAATGAGTTTTTTATTTTTTTTATTTTAATGTTTTATATAGTCTCAAACATTATCTTCAAAACAAAAAATAAAACAAAATAAAGCCATTGATCAAAGGACGGATGCTATTGTCAAATGTCGGGAGGAGAAAGGAATGCTTTTCCCGTTTACACCTCTTTCCATCACCTTTGAGAATATCAGATACTCAGTTGATATGCCAAAGGTAAATTTTTTGTGCCTAATTTTTTTCCCCGAAAAGTGAGAAGTTAACGAGCATGAAATTTGTAGGAAACAAAAGCGAAAGGGATTTAAGGGGATCGATTGGAAATTCTTAAGGGTGTAAGTGGGGCTTTCAAGCCTGGAGTCCTAACCACGCTTATGGGTGTTAGCCGGGCTGGTAAGACCATGCTACTAGACATTTTGGCCGGAAGGAAAAACACTGGGTATGTAAAGGGAATCATCAAGATTTTAGGCTATTGCAAGAAACAAAAATCCTTTGCTCGAGTTTCTGGATACTATGAACAAAATGACATCCACTTCCCGCTCATCACGGTCTACAAGTCCTTGCTATTCTTGGCTTGGCTTCGGTTACCTTCAGAGGTCAAACCTAAGACCAGAGTGGCAAGTATTTGAAACAATAGTAGTAACCATTTGTGTTTTGTGCTATTTAAACTCTTTTTTTAAACTTAATGGTGCAGATTTTTTTCGAGGAAGTGATGGAGTTGATTGCACTGACACCAATGAGAAATGCATTGGTTGGAT